ATAGCCGGTTTTGTAGAGTTCATATGTATATGTTGTATACATACATATATATATATATATATATATACATATTTACATATGTACATATATACATACATATACATATACAAATACATGTATACATACATACATATACATATTAATATGCTATGGATGGTACATATTAAAGAAAAAAACCGCAAAACTCGTTTGTTTTGTTTGTTGATGTTTCTTCAAATCTCGTGAGTGTGTGTTGTTGTCTTTATGATTGTTTTTGGTTAAAAAAACATAAGTATATTACAGAAAAACTAAAAAACACAAGTTGTTTCGCATTTGTTTTGTAAAAATATATCTAAAAACAGGTTGCTAAGGGTGGCCCAAGGTGTGTCGGGAAAGGTTAAAAAAAGCTTAAAATACATAGGTGTCCCATTTTAGAATACTATAGAGTATAGATTAAATATTGACTATTTATGGGTTTTTCTTAAGATTTTGCTGCTGGAAAACTCACAAACTAAAACGAGAAAAACTTAAAAACTGTCGGTCAAAACTCAAAAAAGGACACAAGAGCTTGAACTTTTGAAGCCCCATAGCCTGTAGCCTATAGCCGACCAGCGGTGGCCGGTGCAGCAGTGTAGGAATGTAAATAGGACTGTCACTCGCTCACTGCAGGGGTCAGGCCGTCAGTCGTCAGCGAACTACATAGTAGCCGACCAGGCCCCAGGCCGGGCCCAGGGCCAAGGGCAGAGAGCCAAGAGTCCATGGCCCAGAAGATCAGGTCCCTGCAATTTAAAAAAAAGAAAAATTCTATAAATGAAGCATTTTATTTTATTTTATATATAAAAAACCCCCAAATAAGCATACAAAAAAAAAACTGGGCTTGTTTGCAATAAGATTGGAATAGATAATGACAAATACCATCGCCTTCTTGTTCAATTTAAAAATACAGAAGACATAAATATCAACTACTTTTATTTGGTTCCATCATCTTCACCTATACAGGTGCTAAGAATCGATCTTTGATACGATGAAATTGCTACCCACCTTACTACATTATTTTTCACTGTCACCTCAGAGGCAGCGGCGGTCTTGGTATTGTACCTCTGCCCCATCCTTATCCACCATCTCTGAGGACCTGAAGGAGGTGAAAGAAAGGAGGTCGGAAATTCCGATACAGGTAGCATATACACGAAAAACATACAGTACGACAGTATGTGATACCACAAATTCGAATTATTGGTACGCCAAGGGACCTATAGATATAGATACCGAATACACAGATATACAAACCTATTTCTACCCCGTATGTTTCAGTTCATTGGTCTGCTTTCCTGTGGCATGGCCTTTTGTTCTGCTCGCCCTTGTGTTCTCGATGAGGGCGTCTAAAGCCTTACGCCTAGAGCAACGGCCGCAGGCGCTGAAGTACTCGAAGCATACATATCGCATGCTACGAGTTACAGTGGTGGGATCGATACTTGTATATGTCTTGGCGACTTTACTTGTGGTAAAGTACTCAGGCTCGGGAGTCTCGCATCTCTATAAAACGATGGCTGAGAGCTACTAATCCGAACAAAAAAATTGAGCTCGTATTTTTGAGTATGTATAACTGTTTCACTCACGAGGTGACACGATCTGGACAAAAAAAGGATTCTGAGCATGCCAACTCAGAGAGAAGGTGAAGGGTTCATCTTTTAAATTGATCGATTAACATGACGCGAACAAGTACATATTCCAGATATTCCAGTTGTCACACGGTATCTATCGTCTCTTCAGTGTTAGTGATGGCCCAATCCTACTTTCCTAGTACGGATCCTACGGAGAGGACGTGAAGTCGGGAATATGTCACTTGTAAAATTAATTACAGAAGGAAGTCATAAGCCATTAAATA